TATTAAATCTTTCAACGCTTTTGTATGTCATTCATTTCCCTGTTGATTGCTGATTTCATGCAGGGGACCAATACTACATACTCTCCATACCGTTAGCTAGAGTCACTCAGTCGGCATTTTCATTACAATTGCTATTCTTTTGCGCAGCAGTTTATTTGGCTGAATGCAAGTCATTGTTTGCGGCGACTTTTCATTATGCCAAACCCAAATCAAACGCAAACAGTAAATCTGCCTGAGTTTACACACATGCACACGTACTTCTACCATATATGTATTCTAACTGTATTTTGAGCACAAATCCACATTTGTACCACAAAACTACACGCTTCTTTTTCATCTTAAATATTTAAGAGTCTGTGAAATATAGCTCTCGATGGCTGTCAGCCGCCAATTTGTATTTCATTTTTCATTAGTGAACCTTATTTCGCGCTAAAAACTAAGCGTTTATATTAAAGACACTTCACTGCATAGGAATTAATCGCAGTTTTGAACTCAGCAAACGTAAATATTATAAGTAAAGCCTACCCACAGGCGCTGCTAACTTTTTAGCAGCCATAACTGCCTGATTTTCGATTTTACTTTATATAGAAATGTGTGTTGTTTAAACTGATCAATTCAAAGCTTATAGTTCAACTTTTTTTCGAAATATGTCTGCCCAGAGTTATTCTAATCTCATTTCAGCTAATTTTGAACGTATTGGTACTACGACACATTATTTATTTAAATATTAAAGATTTTTACCTTGAATGTCTCTACAAACTTCATTAATAAATTTTTCAGTCAAAATGCGTCAGTCTTACGCAGCATTTCGCCAACTGCAGTCTTTTTCCGATTTTTTTCACTCACTTAGAATTCTACTGTTCACAACAGCAATCCTTTTTGTGGCGCTTATCAGCAGTATTATCAACAACAAAAAACTACTTGACTCACGGCTACTTGTATAAACGCAAATAAACCTTCAAAGCTTGAAGCAAAGCGAAACGAAATGTGAAAAGGAAATTGAAACCGCATCAAAGTCTAAATGATATTTATCTATACAATATTTGTGAATGCCTTATTCGTCTCCAAGTGGCATAAGTAAGTGCGTAAAAAGCGTTTGGAAGTTAATAGCATAATGCAGAGTAAATTGAAATGTATATAGTAAGGATTATTGGTATTAAATGCATTTAGTATATGCTATAAAAAAAACGGTTGACTTGCTGAGGTAAGGTTAGTCAATTGCACCAAAAAATTACAAGGAAATCAGTTGAGCAGATTTTTCAGAAAAAAAAAACGTGTTCACAGCCTAAAAATATGTTATTATTTCGGGAATTGTATTTATAATTTTTTTAGTAATTTAAAGCATACATTTCAGCTTTGCAAAGTAGCTAGCATACATGAACGCACTGATTGAATCATGTCATTAATTAAATATATGGAAAATCAATTTTACGCCTGATTACAGCTAAAAAATTAGCATGTTGGAGTGAAAAATAAATATGTATAGCACAAAAGTATGCAACGTTACTGCAAATTGCAAAACTATGGCATACATTTAGGCTACTGCACTAGTCAACTTACACACATACTTAGAGTACGCTTTTCTTCATTAATTTCGGCACTCACGCATTTAGCTCGCTATCTAAAATCAATTTGGCAGCCAGTCTCTTAGTTGCTTGGCATTTGCCCACCAACGACGCATTGCATGTAAAACTGCAACCGCCGCGCGCGAGCACTCAACTTGCGCCCGAATGCTTGCCAAAATGCATGAGTCATGCAGTCACCGCCTAACACTACGTTTTGGCTGAAATCCAGTTTGGCTGAGTGTCGTTTGCTTGCGGCGGTCAGGGTGGAGTGAGCGTCAACGAGCAATGTGTAATTTATCTTTACTACTGCAAAACAATTTCCTCCGCTTGTAATGCACGAGCTCAAAGGCGTTTAAAAATAAGCGCAGTATCACATTCAAAACAACAACAAAAGGTGGCTTAAAATAATGGCCAAAGTATGGCAAGACTATGCTGCCTAAATATTTATTTCGTTGGGGTCAGACACACACACACACACATCAGCACGCACTTACACGTCACCCGCCAGCGACATAAACTTCAATTTGTCCAATCAAGCTGCTACAAATATGCCTTCAGCAGAATTACACCTACAAATGTACGCATGTATTGGCTATATATATAATATGTGTTAGTGTGAGTGTATGTGTGTGTTGCCATGGCTACGCGCAATCGCCAGCGAATAGCCATGACAGCGCTGCTAACCCTAACTCGAAGAGCCTTGAAAAAGTTCAAAACGCTTTAGCAATTGATTTCACAATGCACAACAACAGCAACAAAACGACAAAGCAAATCATGAAAGAGTTAATAAATGATGATTTCGATATTCGATGTGTAATAGTAAAATGTCGAAATGGTAAATGGTAAATGCAAATGAGCGCAGCGGTTATGAATAGAAAGTTTCGTAATCATTCGTTTTATAACGTAGAATTCTGATTTATCGTCGCTTATTATTTGGGTTTGAAAGGTGAATTGTGTCAGAAGTGCTATTGATTTTTAGCTGGCGGCAGTAAACTTTTGGCTGAGAACGTGTTGGAGCGAGCGATTACGGAAATCAATTGAACATTTTTAGATGGCTTGAAAGACAACCAAAATATCTAAAAGTGCATGAGTAAGCTTTTAGCACTAATTTGCGGTAGAAATGTTGCATACAAATAGCTAAAACGCTGCTTAAGAGGCCAACGAAAGGGGCATAAATAGTGCTACACAAACATACATACAATTTTGAGAGCATGAGCGGATTTTTAACGTTCCGTGAAGTCCATCAAGCGGGATTTTCGAAACTCTAGCGGCTTTTGTTTGGATCTTTGTCCGAGCTTAATTTGAAAGCTCTAACTAGTAGCGGTTTCAAAACCAAAGCATTATTTAGTGTAGTTTAAAATTGAGGGAGTCTCGCGCAAGCAGTTTCCTTTCCCCTACATAACCTCACATTGAAACTGAATAGTTAGCCGCCCTCGGTAGTAAGTCAAACACAGGTTTTTGGGGGTATTCATATTTATGCTACCTTGTTTCTAAGTAGATTGTGTTTCGAGGCAATATGGCACCAATAGTTCTCTATAACTCAAATTTCGAACTGAACCAAAACTAAACTAAAGCTTCGCGATTAGACTACTCAAAGTGGAAAGAGAAGTCAGTTGATGTCGCCTCAGTTTGTATACAGCTAATATGTAGTATGATCAACTTTAACCGTGTCCTGCAACAAATTCTTCTCGTGAAACTCTAATTTCTAGTAGAAGTAGCTTGTCTTGTCTTGCTTCTGGAGAGAGTTTCCAATGCTAGCATTGTTCAATGTTCAAACCAGATTTGGCATGCTAAAGTTGGCTTCTAAGGACTTCTGAGAAATCAATAAGCTGCCATGAAATTAAACGAAACCGGCACTTGATGATGTTGAGCTTCCTCGAGCTCTAAAAGCTCCACAATCTGCATTTTCTATATATGCAAAGTAGAAGTTGAAGAAATAAAATGACAAATGATTTTCGAGTGCGAGCTTACAAGCTTAAGCTTTATTGAAAGCTCAGCATGACTCCAAGAGATCTCATTGACCCACTTTTCAACAAAATCTTGCCGATAAAAAGCATAAAAGCGCTACTTAACCGCTTAAGAAGAGTTTCTTTAAGATTGTTGTTTTAGCATTCAAGCAAAAATGCATTCATCTAAGAGGCATTTGTTAGAGGTCAATTTTGAAGTCAACTGAGAGAATTATCATTTTACAATCGAACCTCAAAGCTAAAACTATGTCTGACCGTTTGAGAAGCGCAGAAATTAAAATTAAATTAAATTTAGAAGAACTATACACGCCTAAAAGTATGCACTTTTCATGCAATTTGTGAATGCTTTAAAAATACTAATTTTCAGGATGTGTAACGGCAATTTCTCGTAACTTTTTTTCCAGCACCTTCCACTGAACTCTTCACACCAAACGCAATTAATTTTCATGTATGCCTACTTCCCTACCTATTTTCTAGGTTATACTATGTGTACGGCACACATAAAATATATTTTATTACCATTTTTTTGCAACTCGTTGGCTTTTCGACATTTACGAGTATTACGGCCGCATATTTGTAAGCCAAATTCAAACGAGCGAAAATGTCATTTCCATTTCACCATTTTACCATTTCGACAATAAAATCGGACAATCCCTGTGCGCAATAATGTTGCTGTTGTTGTTGCTTACTAATTTCATACGCTTTTATTGCCTTTTATTTACTGCAACAGCAACCCCTAACCAAGCTCGGTAATGCGAACGAATGAATGAGCGCAGCGTAGCGAGGAGTTTACGAAAAAAAAACGCGGTGGTCACCCCAAAAGCGGGACTGACAGCAAAAAACCAAAAAAATAAAAACAAGCAACAACAGCAAAAATCGAATAACGACGCTAGTGGAGTGCAGAGCAACGGAGCATTATAATTATTTCAGTGACCACAACAAGAGACAACAAACACGAAATATATTAAAACGAGAAGACACAAGCAGGCCGTGGTTGTAAGCCAAGCTGCAGCAAGCACACATAAGAAACCAAGTAAACTAGCTACAACAGCAACAACGCAGCAAGTGAAGCATAAGAAGCGACCGAGTCGAGCGACGATGCCGTTGGAAAAAAGGTCATAAAAACGACGAAGCGTGGCGACTGGTAGCAACCAGCGACAGCACGACAACACGACAGCGCCAACGACGAAGTGGCGAACGAGTTGGTCGGCGCGTACGAGCGCGGCGCCGCGGTAAAGGTGAATGGAAGGAAAGCAGCAAAGGCAAAGTGTTGGTAGCTCGAGCTCGAGTAGCAAAGGGAGCACTCAGCGCAGTCACTTTGGAGTCGCAGTCACAAGTGTGTATGTGTGCTTGTGTGTTGTGTATACTTATGTATATATGAATAAACAGTTATACTTGTGCCTTTATGCGCGTGTGTATACCGTAGTAATGTGTGCATACATATATATAATAATCATGACTCACTCACCTGTACATTTGGGCAATTTGTCGCACAGATGACAGTTAAGGCCAACAGGCCAAGACTGATTTTACTTGAGTCTAACATTTCTGTACAATGCTTGCTTGTTGTTATTATTGTTGGTTTATTCACAAATTTTACTGTTTGCACGATTTTTCACCACACACACTGGAGGAGTCAAATGTACTGTTATTTTTTGTTAATTTTTGTTTTTGTTTAATACGAATGTTTAGTTGATATTCACTGCGTTCGGGAATTGGAAGATTTTTTTAAGGTTTTTAGAAAAAATATGGAAATATCGATTATGGTTTTGGAAAATAGTAAAAATATCAAAAATATATTGAGAAAACTGTATATGAAGTGTAATGAGTTCAGTAAAATCAATTTTTTAACTCATATACATTTTAATTTTCAAATTCGTGTAGCTTAAAAGCGTTAAACTTCGAAATTGAATAATTAAAAATTCTTTTCAAAGTTTAAAAAAGTAAAAGAAAATACATAGGCAAAATAATATTTACAAAGTAAGCAAATTTTGGAATTAGAAACCAATTTTTCAAAATTTTTAAAAGCTATAAAAAACAAAACATATAAGAGCCCATGTAGAAATATTTTACGCGAAAAAACTAACAAACTTTTTTTTTAACTGGCATACTTAAAAAATTCAAATTTGCGGCATACATACAATTTTTTTTCAAAATTTTGTGAAAATTTTTTTAAAAACTAAAAAAATTAAAACATAGAACCAATATAGAAATAATTTACAAAAAAAAACTAACAAATTTATTTTTAACGGGAAATCTTAAAAAATTAAAATTTACGCATACATATGTATATACAATTTTTTTAAATTTTGTAAAATAACTAAATTTTTTTATAAAAACAATTTATATTATAAATAAATATTTTTTAAAGTAGCGAATATTGGGCATATACGATATTGTTTAGCTAGAAAATATTGGAAATGACAGTTTTTAGTAGATTTTTTAAATTAATAATTAAATAAATATTTTCGAGGTATAAATAGATTTTTAAAATTAAAGAATAAATATTTTCGAAATAAAAAACACGTTTTTGTATATTTTTATATTTAATATTTAAATATAATATTGGAAAAAATTGGAATTATTTTAGAGATATTTTCAAAAAATATATATGTATATTATTTCATTTTCCAAATAGACGTATGTCTTAAAATTTAGAACGTTTTGATAATTAAACAGTCAGCACAAGAAGGGCTACACTGTACTTATTAAAAAATAAATTCAAAAATAGTTTTTTTATGGAATTATAGTTCAACATGAACAGCACAATTGAATCAAATTTTTGAAAAAAAAAATTAAGACAATATATGAGAAAAATTTATTTTTGAAATATAATAAATTTTTAACTAAAATTGTTTTCTCCACGAAAATTATTTTGTAAAATGATTTAAATATTTTATGTAATGTAAAGAATTTAGAAAAAAAAAACGTAAGGAAACTAGAAAAATATAATAACAAGTCATATTTTTATATGCAATTATCGAAAATTTCAAATATTTAAATTTTTGCAAACTGAATTTTTACTACTACCAGCGCAAACTCTAATTTTATATTTTTATTTTTTTTTTTGAATTTATTAAATGTTTTACAGTTATTTAGTAATACAAATATTATCCAAATTTGTCAAAACGCTTTGATTTGGTACAATTCACCATGCGCCAAAAAGTAGGCAACGTTTTTCGAGTATACAACTAACGTCTCTGGCGCAGACACAGCGCAATTAGCTGTGTTCGCTGCTTTTTCGGCTGCAAATCGTTGCGTTTTGGTGGACCTAACACACACACACACGCTTAAACATCGCCGACTTTTTCACGTATTTTTTGTGGTGTTTGTTTTTTTTGTTTTTATTATTTTGCTAACATTTTTTCTTTTTGTTTCTCTTTTGCACAATATATCTGGTCTACACTTTTGAGTTGGTTGTCTTCAGCGTTTTACTTTTCTTTTGCTGTATTTTTTCTGTTTTGTTTTTGCTCAGCTTTTTACGCACAGCAGCGGTGCGTTGGCAAAAGGAATGGAGAAAAAAATCGAAACTGTCAGTCACACCCCTGAGCGAGAAAAATGTGTGCGACAGCGAAACACCACCAGCGCACAAATGCACACTGCTGCGTTGCTGACGGTGGGGGAACAGACAGACACCCAAAGAATTCTTCAAATATTTTTAAACGGTTTTTGAAAATTGGGCGACTTTTTCACAGCCGATTTTTGGGCGCAGCTTAAGGCTCGCCGTCAAATGCGCTAAAAAGTCTCGTTTTACGAATTCATCACCATCAGCACTATGCAAGTATCCCCAAATTCACTCTTATGCAAAACGTGCAAAAGTCTTGCGTTTGCCTTCGTCGCCACAAAAACTAGTTTACACAACACACGCCTTTATTAGTTTCAAAATTCTGTTCTTAGTTCACTTTAGTCTCGACAATTGCTTATATTTCAACACTTGGTAAATGTCAAATCACTTGCTTGGTATATGCAAAAAAGAGGAATCAAATTTCTTTGCTTACTTTGCAAACAACTCATTCGGTTGTTCGCCCGTTCGTTAGCTACGCTTCGGTTCGTTTGATTCAAACGCTTACAAATGTCGACGACGACAGTCTGGTGTATGGAAAAATTTTGCACTTAGCAATCACCTTTAAGGCTGTCAGCGGCAGTGAGCCGCCCTGTGCGCAGCCGCTGCTCTCCGATACCGTTAGCATTGTTATTCGAACGTGTGGAACGTATTGGCAAAATTCAATATTTACATCGAAATCGTGCAGAAGAACAGGGTTGATTTTTAGCAATAGGAAACATAAAGCCTTAAAAATTTTAGCTGATATTTTTTTTTTTTCAAAAAAACGTTTAAAGAGTGACAATGAGAACTAGCGAAGTTTTTTGGAAAAAATTAAAGCGAAAATATTTTTTTATGATTCTCTTTGCTTAACAGTATAAAATAGTTTTTCGAAAACTGAATTGAACTGATTATCAAAAACGCATACAAAATGACGAAGTTTTTTTTGGAAAAATTTTAAGCGAAAATATTTTCGTTTTTATAATTTCCTTGGCCAAACGGCAGAAAAAAGTTTTTCGTAAATAACTGAACTGAACTTAAAATGTTTCAAAAATTCGAAAATGTCGAAAACAAGACAAAATTCCGGAGCATTTTTTAGAAAAATTTGAAGCGAAAATATTTTTCTTTTATAATTTTCTTGGCCAAACGGCAGAAAACAGTTTTTCTTAAATAACTGAACTAAAATCAAGATGTTGCAGAAATTCCAAAAGGTCGAGAAGACGAAATGGGGAAGTTTTTGAAAAAAAGTTAAGCAAAAAAAATTATTTTTTTAATTTCGAATAAAATAGTTTCTCGAAAATTTTCAAAATATTTTGAAAAGTCATATTTCCTTATTAAAGAAGCATATTACTCAATGTTACATAATTATGTAAAAACAATCAAACCACAAATACCGATTCGGTTCGAAGAAGGTTTTAATTTATTATTAATCGTCTTCGAATGGAATTTATGCACTTTAATTCAGAAAACATACATTTTCATATTGACAGGTGTCAACACAACAGCAAGCTCTCTCTCGCGTGAGTGTAAAATAGCGCAAAGGATTGTGTGAGAAAAAGAACGAGTGCAAACACTTATTCTGTATTCTCCGTAATTCAGCGCATGCGCAATGCAAACACATTCCACTTAAGGACTTATACAAAAACTGCGAAGTAATATAGTTAGCACACCAACAGCAACAAACAGTAACATTCATTATGAGCGTGATTGGTTTTACATGCGCTGAGTACATACACACAACTGCCGTTACTATACTTTTTGTATGTATTGTAAGCTGAAACAGCGAGCTGAGAGCTTAGTTCGTATGAGAAAGAGCGCAGTAAGAATGAAAATACGCAATGTACTGTTATTATTTTTCACCGTTCGCTTTGTAACGGCTTTTGCCTATCAAAAAATGTGCTTTTGCAGTAAACCTTTAAGCTTTTGTTCTATAGAGCTTTTGAAAGTTTAGCTTGGCGCCAATAAAGCTTTAGCAGATTTATGCATAATTTTTAAACGTAACTAAGTCAAAGCCAATTAAAACACGCAAACGTTATGCTTGAATATAACAGAAAAAAAGTAGCAATTTGTAAATTTCATTAAAAAATATTATATATAAACTCATAAATATGGGCATATGTAAGCGCCTGTCATAACAAGGCTTAAAGCTCATGTTTATGACTTAATTTTACAACATTATGCAGCGGCAGCGGCGCAGCAGTGAAGCGTAACGCTTGTAAATACCGTGGTGTGGTGAGCACAGATAGTGATTGAAAGCAAATATTATAATGAAAAAATGGATAAATAGCTATAAAAGTTCAAAATTTTATTTCTATCTGACTTTTGTCTGTCCGCCATTCAGGTTAATCATATGCAATACTTAACTTGCAACAAACACTAAAACCGTTAGAAGGCGTCAAAAATGACAAGTAAAAAGTAAACAACATGGTGTGACAAACAGAAAAATGTTTAACACAGTAATTTGTCAAAAATGGGTTTCACCTGAAACATATACCAAATGCACGGAAATGATATAAAACACTACCAAAAATGCAGCAGAACCAGTTCTACACTCTAATAGAGTTTTGTAAAAGCGAGTTATAAAGAATTACCACTAAAGCGCATCATTAAGAAATGTAAAACAAATCGTTAATCATGTTTTACCACCGAGAAGAGAAAACAAAACACGTACGTATGTACCTGTGTAATAGATATGCTCACCTTGCAGCTGCTTTTTCTTTCATTTACTGCTGCCACTTAAAACTCTCAACTTTACACACTCATACAGACTATCATCTTCCGCGTTTTACATTTGCTTCAAATGCACATCACTTTTTTTTATTTTTTTGACAGATGCCTACAATTCTCGACTTTTATTTGACTCATTAAGCATGTACAAACATGTATACAGCGCACGCAATGGGCTCAGGTATCACTCATTCAAACCCGACTTAAACTTTAACGAAGCTTTGCGTTACAAGTGCGATTGCAACGAACATTCCACCTGCATTTACAGCTTCTTAGCTGAATCAGGCCAACATAACACTAATTTTTTATTAATGTTATATTTTTATCTTTACATTTGTTTATGCATCGCTCGTATCATATTAATTTGTCACTTTGTTTGTGCATTGCACATTATTCTTTAGCTTGCAGGCAAAAAAACATATAGTTTGGCTACAAATAGTTGAATTTAAGCGCTTAAATTGTGCAGGAGTTGCTGCGAGCACACCTGCTACAACACAGTGATTAATGGCTGCGGCTGCTCAACTACACGCTGCATCTACACTTCACCATGCAATTATTGACATTCGCGCTTATTTACTGCAGCAGCTTTATGAAAACCTTAAGTATTTTTAAAAATATGCACATTTATTCTGCACTATTTGTAAAATAAAGATGGCGCGTATAAAATTAATAACAACTGTCAAGCAAATTGAAAATGCGGATTACAGGGTGATTCAGCGTATATGCAATGCGGAAGTGCAAGGTGAAGATGTGAATTTATAAGTGCAACAATACATTCACAATAAACGAATTTGTATTATATTTGAATTTAATTACGTTAGATTTTGATATTTTGATATAAGTTTGAAAGTGCTAGTACTTACGTAAATAATGATGTGTGTGTGTGTAATATATAAATACACGTTGCATGCCATCAACAAAAAAACTACCACATCACAGGCAAATGGTTTGATATTACAACAACAAAAACAGGTAAAAATATATTAATATTGTTACAACAACAATTGCGGTGGTGTACGTAAAAAGTCTTCATGTGTAAATGATCATTCAATATTTATTTTTTATTTTACAAAAATCTAGTTTTTATTAATCGCATAAAGTTTTATAATTTAATTATGTATACTATTTATTTTTGATAATATTATACCCTGAATAAGAAGAACTGAAGATAAAGCTCTTTTTATACCCTTTTATACTGTTAAAATGCCCAATGGAGGGAAGAGAATTATAGCTTCGATGCAGTTGAACTTTTTTTCTTGTTTTATTTATTTATTTTGCTAAAATAAAAACATAATTTTTTGACATTGTTATGAAATAAGCCTTTATTATAATTAATATTATAACAGCACGCTTCTATGCTACATATATTACTAATTTTTAATATGTTTTAGTTTTACGCCCCATTTTGTTCCTTAGTGCTGCCCTGTTCCACCACATCACGTGATTGCTCGTCAACCTTATTCGTACTCAATTGCTCAATTGCAGCCGCCGACGCTTTTTGCACCAAATTTTCCGTTATTTCATTCTCCGCTCCAGCCTTTGCTGTCACCTCAGTTTCGCTTTTAAGCTTATCCGCATCAACCGTTTCCTGCGCCGCTCTCTCAGTGACCACACTCAGTTCCACAGGCAAATTCACTTCATCAGCGCGCGCCAACAGCCTAAAGTCAGCGTCCTCGTCGCTGTTGGTGCGTCCCTCCGCTGACATCGCCGGGTGCTGCACTGCGCCCGAAGCGCCCACATTTACCGGACACATACAGGGCACAAACTGAATTTGTCCGCCCTGACTATTGAAGCGCGTCGCTGGCGCGGTCTTATAAACGGTGTAGTCGGGATAAGGATAGGCCGGTCGGTAGGAAGGCGAGTTGTAACCCATGTAGGCACGACGATTGTAGGTTGGGTAGGGATACGGATACGGTTGAGGTTGCGGCTGGTGCTGAGTCGCCCTCAGCTGCGAGAGGGCTGCGCTTGTCGCGCTGGTGCTGCTGCTTACGGTCGTCGTTGTAGGTGGTGGCGGTGTTGTGGTCGTTGTTGTAGTAGTGGTGGTGCTTGTGGTCGTTGGCGGCTCAGTGCTGGTGGTACTGGTGGTAGTTGTTGGACTCGGCGGCGGCCTCGCGTGCAACACGGGCGTCTGTGCCAGCTGATACATTTGTGGCAGCATTGATTGTTGTTGCTGCTGTTGCTGCGGATGTGACATTGCAACACTAACAGGATATGCGCTGCCATGCAGGTAAGTGCCATGCTCGTAACGCGCAGGACCCGCAAGCAGCGGCGACGGCATGGCGCTCGCCGCGTGTGGGTAGTAGGGGAAGGCGGCGAAAGGATTGCCGGCGATCGGTTGGTAGGTGTAGCTGCGGAAATAGGTGAGCGGTATCTCTTTAAGCACTCGCGGCGATTCGCTGGAACAATCAGAACGTCTGCATGTTTAACAAATTGAATTTTAATTTAGGAGATTTTTTAAAAATATGTGGCAAATAATGTGTATGTGTGTATAACTTACGTTGTGGGGGCCACAGTCGCTGGCGCCCACCAGAACGCGTGGGCGGGCAAGAGAAGCAAGGCGCTTATTAACTGCAATGAAATTACAAACATTTAGTATTTCTTTAAGGAAACTTTCATAATGGTTTTAGAAAATAAATATTTAATAAATGTTTTTTTGGAAATTTTTTCACTTATAAATTTTTTTCTCAATAATACAATGATAAAAAATATATTTAGCAAACTTTTGTTTTGGAATTTTATGCTCTTTTAAAATGTTTGGCTACAAATAAAAAATATAATCGTTTAATTGATTAAGTTTTATTTTTATATTGTTTATTTATTTCTACTAAATTACTTTTGTGCTTTATTTTATTATTTTTTTTTTTGTTGTTTTGGTATTTCTATTAATTAATTTTTATTTATTTGTTATCGTGCGAATATAATATAATATTATATTTCTACATTTTGTTTTACCACTAAAAAAAATATTTTTTCTACATTTATTTATATACTCTTTTATGTAAAAAAATGTTTTGTTTTTTAATTTGTTTTTTTTCTTTTTTATTTATAAGTTTTTTTTTATAAGATATTACATATATTATATACTATATAATTCACTTATCTAATTTTTTATATATTATAATATTTAATTATTTTTTATTTAGTTTTATTTTTTATATAAAATTATCTATATTAAATAAAAATTATATATTTAATATTTAAAAATATTTTAAATGTATAATATTTTGATCATTTTACTACATTAAAACAATTTTATTTGTGGTGGTTTTGCTTAAGATTTAATTTGCTTTTCTTTAGGTTATAAATAACTAAATATTTTTATTTCAGTTTTTTTTTTAGTTTTTATTTCTGTTTTTGAATATTTATTTATTTAATTCATACATCATTTTTTTACTTTAATACGAATTAAATTTGTAATTTTTTTTAAAATGATTTACTTAATTTTTTGTTTTTGATTACAATTTTGGTTTAAGTTAAGACTTAAATAAATTAATTTTTGAAAGTTTTTTTTTAATTCATATATAATAGTTTTTCCTTAAATAATAAATTTGTAATTTTTTTGAAAAAATATTTGTAATAAAATTTTTTTATTTAATTTAAAATTATAATTTTTGTTTAAATTACATTGTAAATCAAAAAATATACAACAATACATATAAATATAAAAAGTCCTGCTTTTTTATTCAAACAAAAATGTAAAAAACCCAGTTAAAAATAATAATAATTGAACAAAAATTAAAAAAAATAATAATTTTAAATAAATTTTATTTATTAAAATTTTAATTTCAACAAAAATTATAATATTAATATAAATCAAAAAAAGTTTATACAAATAATTAAAAAAAAAGTTACAAATTTATTATTTAAGGAAAAATTATTATAAATTTTAGTATTTATTATAAATTTTTTTTATATAATTTAAAATTATAACTTTGATTGAAATTAAAATTTACATAAAAAACGGCATACATTTTGTTATTTTATTTAAAATTGTAATTTTTATTGAAATTATAGTTTTTATTGAAATTAAAATTTTAATTAATTAAATTTTTTTTAACTATTTTTTTTTTAATTTTTTGTTAAGAAAAAATTATTAAATTTATATATTTTTTTAATAATTTTTGTTTTTAATTTTTGCTTAAATAAAAATTTTAATATAGAACCGCAGCACTTATAGAATTTATATAAATTTTCTAATTGATTTAATACTATTGATAATATAATAACACACAATAGATGTATATTAAATTAAATTTCAAATAATATTCATTATTTTTATATTTCTATGCTCAATTTTATACACAAGGATTTTCAATTATATAGTCGCCTACAATTTTTATATTATTTCATATATATTTTTATATTTCAAAGGCTCTTTGCTATAAAATATTACTATTGTTTTACATTTTTGTTATTGTACGAATTTCGAAGATTTGAAATTTTTTTATATATTTTCAAAATTTTTAACGGTTATGTTTTATATTTATTTTAAATATTATTTTTTTCGAAATTTTTCCGCTGAGATTTTTTAATTTTATTTTTTGTTAATAGTTTTTCAAAATATTTACGGTAATTTTTTTGATTTATATTTGTTTTAATATTTTTTCAAAATCTTTTTTCGAAATTTTTTAGCGCTTATTTTTTTATTTCTATTTTAAATAATATTTTTTCGATATTTTTTTGATTTTCATTTTTATTAATAATTTTAAAAAATTGTAACGGTTGTTTTTAAATTTTAATTCGTATTAATATTTTTTATGTTTTCAAAATTTTTTCACGGTCATTTTTATTAATATTTCTTCAAAATTTTTTAACGGTTATTTTTAAAATTTAAAATTCATTAAATATTTTTTCAAAATAGTTTGACAGTTATTTTTTTTTTTATTTTTTATCTTATTAATATTTTTTCAAAATTTTTTACAGCTATTTTTTTTTACTTTTTATTTATATTAATATCTTTTCAAACAGTTATTTTTTTATTTTTTTTTATAAATATTTTTTCTTAATATTTTAACAGTTTTTTTTTTTAATTTTTACCCACCAGCAAACATTTTAGCAACTTTTCATAAGCCATTTCAACTTTGCTTTTTTCGAAATTTTTATGAAAATAGTTTCAATTTCAAAGAGTTAAATATTTTTTATTAAGATTAACACTTCCAAGTTTTTAAGATAACTGTTAGAACTTTCAGTGGCAGTTGGTAAGCGTTTATAGACTTAAACTCCGAACACTTTTTATTAAATCAAAAAAAAGGAGTCACTTTTCAATACTATTCTTTTCACATAAAGACTGGCTCTTCAACACAAATTCAACAATTTTTTGCACTTTAGTCCTTTTATATCCTGCGACTTTTATATTTTTAATATTTTGCTTTCTCTTGTTTTTATAAATCCTTTGCATTAACTTTTAGTATGCAACAAATTTTCCGTTCGCCCCTCTTCTTGACCGCGCGTAGGCAGCAACGCAACAATTCTAAAATATTTCCCAATGACTCTTTGCCCTTTTATACCCAACCGCCGGGTAGAAGTTCGCCGCGGAAGGGTCAGCGTTTGTTCAAGCAAGAAACTTTAATTCTAACAAAATTAATTGAGGTACTAAAATAAGCGGAGCAGAGACGTTGCGGAGGCAGCCAAAGTGTTGCTAATACAAATTCGAAACATGAAACAACAAAAAAGCAGCAATAGTTTTCCCAAAAGCAAGTGTTAGACAGTGGAGCGAGAATTCCAAAAAAAATAAAGAAAAGAGGTAAAGAATGCAACACGCACGACTGCACGCAGCGCGCACGCAAACGAAATCAATAAAGCTGCAACAGAGAGCATTAAAGCAGCATCAAAACGCAGAATAAGCTGTGAAGTGGAAATTAGGGAGCTGCCGCGCGAAGCAGCTACAGCGGCGCCGTGGGCAGTGCGTTGGCCGCAAAGGCGACTCACTCAACAATCTAGGCCTGTTGCACGGTTGCTGAGTTAATCTTCGGCTGCGGCACGACCGCTTGGCGTTTATGATGTCGTTAAAAATGTATTTGACTAAGTTTTATTAACTGTAATTGACGCGGCCGAAGGTGTACAAAGGTAGATGGAGGAAAAGTTGTGAAGAAAAATTAGTAAAAGACACATTAAGACTACGCGCGTGCAGTGAAGTTGGCAGGGCGGCAGGCAGTAGCTGTTAAACAAATGCGTTCTTAAAAGACTTATCAACTGGGGCTGTTGATGAAACAATTGAGCAGCATCGAAACAAATCTTTTTTATTGAACGCGTTGCAAGAATGATTGCTCTATTTGTTGGCCACAGCGATTTTTGACACTGAGAAATTTGAATTTTCCATTGTAGCGACGTAAAGCATGGCATAAAAGTTGTTGAAAAGTGAAATAAAAGAATTCTTCAGGGATTTTCGTCACCATTTTCTGTCTCACAAATTTTTCATTTTTCTTTGAAAATAAAAGAAATTTTTTCTGAAATTAATGGCTGCTATTAGTCGCTTTAGCGCATTAGTAGGCAGAGCGTGAGGCTCATTGTGCCTGAACAAGTGATCAAATCAAGTGAGATTAACTCAAAAATTTAAATTTTTGTAATAATTTAAAAATATTTGCTTTCTTAGCTGTTCGAAAAAACTCAACATATAAATGATTTTTTCGGAATATTTGAAAAAAAATATTTTCTTAGAAAGTCGAAATTTGTTTTTTTTTTGTAATAATATTTTTTTCATTTTTAAAGAGAATGCAAAAAAATTACATAAAATATATAATTTTCGGCTGCCGAATATTATAATTAGAAAAACCATTAAATGCGGTTGCACCGAAGCTATAATACTCCTCACGAGTACAAAAATTTCTTTCAAAAGCTCAGATACTAGTTCGCATATATACAGACGGACGGACAGACAGACGGCCAGACGAAGTCAATTCAGTTCGTCACGCTGATCATTTATATATATTTTTTAAAGAACCTCGCGTTTCCTTTTGGGTATAAAAATATTGCTATGTGTAGAGTTTTTATTTATATTTAATTTATACTTAAATGTTAATTAAATTATAATTCCGCTTATGTAAAAAATTAATGATTAATAAATATTAACTCTAATAGCTTCAAATTGCGCTTAAAATCATGAAAGCTTTATAAAAAAAAGCTTTTGAAGCTCTTGAAAATCACTCGTCGGGTTCTCTCACATCCGTCGTATGTATATATTTCGAGGAGAGGCGATATTCATTGGTGTTTTGCCTATGCTGTCCTTTATATCTAGAATTGGAAAAAGTGATATTTTAGCTTAAGCTTTTCAACTTTTCCAGCATAAAGATATTTAAATAAAATCTGCAATATTCTAAATTTAAAAAAAAGCTTGTTTGCAAATATGTTTTAAAACGCGCTTCTCTTTTTAGAATAAGTGTGAAAGCAGGGGTTTGGGAGCTTACATAAATTATTAGTAAAAAATGAAAGCTTAATTTAATTGAGTAAAGCTTAAATCAAAAGTATGAACAACAAATTTGAATGGCAACACAGCACTGAGGTTCAAGCGCATTCATGTGAATCATAAATGAACGTGTTTAAGGTAGGCGCTTAATTTTTGAAAGCTTTCACACATATAATATGAAGAGAGCTTTCGACAAAGCTTTCATTTTTGGACCAAATATTTCATTTACCTCGAGTTCAGTATGAACCAAGTCTCCACGTCATCCGCCTCACCATCCTCTGCATCACTTTCTTCTCCACCGACATTTTCGCTAGCCACATTTGCAGGCGTTTCACTAGTGTTTTCCACTTGTTGTACATTCGCGATGGGACTGTCAATGGTATTTTGTACCATAAAACCTGGTAACTGTTTCTCAACGCCATCCGACTCGGACTTCAATAGCTTGCCCAGTGTAAATACCGGAAAGGCGTAGTACTCCTTGGAGAGTGAATAGCGCGAGCTCATCATAGGCACTTTTGTGGCTGTAGTGGGTCTTTCGAGACTGTCGTCGACATACATAATCCGCAGCCGATCGCCGTCCACTTCCTTTTCAACATCATCCTCTACACTGTCCGTCTCCGATTCGTAGGTGATTTTGTAATTGCTCAAGGAAGGCCGTGTTGTCGACGACACTTCCATATCATTGACGAGGCGATGGTTTTGTGGTGGACTGGGCGCCGTCAACGGAAAAGGAGTTGTAGTCGAAGTGACGAGCCTCAGCTCCTCCGTGGTCATCGGCGTCCATTGCACCTCGTTAGGCGAGTGATACGCTGAATAGTGTTTGCCTTTCTTGAAGCGTAACTTTTTCGCTGTTGGTACAGTTTCCGCAGTTACCGAATCCGCAATAGGAGGCATGGCAGCTGGCGCAGCATAAACCACCGTGGGTTGCGGAGTAGTGGTTGGCTCTCGATTCAGCGCTTGCTCATGATCCAACATGCGTGCCGCCTGACGTATATCAAGAGCTTCGTGCTCGTAGAAAGGTATAAGCGTAAGATTCAAAGTCTGCGTGCTGCCCGGCATGCGGAAGCGCTCCACAATCGGTTTGGGTCGAAAGACGGGCACGCTAGGTGGGTACAGCACTTGTCCCGGCACCGGCTCCTGCATCGGATACTGTGGCGCTGTCAGCATGGTATTCAATATCAGCTCGCCTTTGGGTCCAGTATAGATAAAGACTGGCGCGGCGCGTCCACTCTCGTCACCAGGCATGCTATCGAATGTGGGCATGCTGAGACGCGGTATGTAATTCTCGCGACGTCGTGCCGGCGCCACTGCATTGCCAGCCATAAAACGCGGCCTCTTGCGCGCCAAAAGCGGAGGCGGACGTTGTTGGAAATGCACGCGTTGCAGCGGCATATAGCGGTGTGGTAGTTGCAAGCGCGTTGTATATTTAGCCACGCGCGATTGCTGCCGCGTCTGGCGCGTTGATTGTGCAGTGCGCATCGCCTGTGCTGCATGCTGCTGTTGCAACTGTACCTCCCTATTTGATTGACTGCCTTGTTGCAGCTGTATTGCGCTCAGCCGCTGTGCATGCAACTGCGTCTGTGGCATGTGGTAGTTGTAAGGACTCTGCGTTGTGTAGACCAATGCTGAGTAGTCACTTTGTGGCACTTGGTCCTCCAGTATCCAGAGTGGTCGCTGCTGATTTAGGTAGCTGCTGCCCAGCTGTTTGCTGACGCTCAACGCGCTACTATCGGCGGGCGGCCGATTCATTATGGCTATTACTGGCTGAAGGCAGCAAAAGCATAGCGCTAGCAGGCAGCATAGGCAACCGTTTGTGGAAAGCATGATGTCTCAATTACTTTTTATCAGCTTGAGCTGTTTTGTCACATGCGCGTTCGTCAAATGAAAATCGCTTGCGCCTAACGACTGTTTTTATAAATTTCTGTCAATGGAGGTAGAGTATGCGTGGCACACATATAACTGACTAGTTTTAATTGTTCTACAATTTTGGTGCAAGTAATTTTTTTTAATTAAATTTGGCCGGCTTTTCCGGTTCTTTTTTATTCTTGTCATGTTTTTTTTTTTAATTATATTATATTTTTATTTGGGTGTCTGTTTTCCCACTTCTTTCTGCTTGTTCAGTTTTTGTAGAATTTTTATTTTTTTTTCACTTTGTCTTTATATGTGAAGCTCAAGAACTGGTTCTAAACGAGGTTCTACCACTTTCGTTGCCGGTGAAATTCGCACCAAATTTTTTAATAGTTGTTTGGCTGGCAAAATGCGCCACTGACTTAGTTCTAGTTTTTTCTCACAATATAAACCAGACTTGTTGTAAAATAATGGCAAAAACAATAAGACTATAATAATTTTGAAAAATTTATAAACAAATTTATTATAAAAAATTTAAAATTACTTTAAAACATAAAATAAAAAAATTATTTTTTTTGGAAAATTTTTTAGTTTAGTTTACAAATAAAGTTATGTAGTTTTTGAAAAAAAAAATTTGAACAGTAAAAAGTTTAGTAAATAATTTATAACTTACCGTTTTAAATATACAACAGCGCTGGCATTTAAATCTTCGATGTGTATATATTTGTTGTTCATAATAAAAAAAATTATTTTTTTATATTTATTTGTTTATATTTATTTATCTGTTTTTTTTTACTATTACTGTTTACAGTATTTTTTTATAAGGGCAAATATTTTCAATAGCAAATTTCAATACAAAACTTTCAATAAAAAATATTTCAATACTTAATTTTAAACATTTTGTGTTTTCTCTTATTTTCAAATCTTTTTCAAAAAAAATTTAATTTTTTTTTTTTTGATTTTCGAATTTTCGAATTTTACAACTTAACTGTAATTGAAATTAAAAACAATTAGCTAACTCTGCTTTAAATTTCAGCGCAATATCTGCTAAATTATAGCAGTTTTGAGACACAAAAGCAAAATGTGAAAAAGCACAACACACTTACCTGCCTCATTCTAATAATTTTTTTTAAGCAACATATAGAAATTATAATATAATATAATATGTACTAAAAATCTTAAACTATATATTGTTAAAATATTCAGAAAAATATCTCGTAAATTGTACAAATTAAGTTAGTGTCTAGCGTTTTCCGTTTAAAATAGATTTTTGAAAACTTAAAATTTTTTCATAAATTTTTATTTCTTAATTTTTTTTTGAATATAAAATTATTATTTTTTAATATTTTCGACTTTAAAATATTTTAATTATTTTAATTTTATATTCAAAATATAATTAAAAATAATAAACTTTTTTAATTTTTTCATACTTTTAATTTAAAAATACCAAAATTCTCCATGAAATTCTGTATGGTCACCCACTTACATTTCGAAATCAATAATGGTATTGATATCAAGTGGAAAAGTGATCCCATCAAACGCTTGTACAAGTACAACAACAATTGCCCAGTCACTGCAGCGAGAGCAAGTGCGCTGCCGAGTTCGTCGCTTAAGTCTTTTGATTCACAGCTGAGAATAAGCGCAACACATACAAGTACCAGCACAAGTGTTAATTACAACAAAAAGTACACGAATTGTGCGCGCAGGCAATGTTAAGCGGCGGAGGAAAGGAGTAGCAACAAACCAAAGCGGCCACAAATTGGCGTACAAATGACCAGTTTTGGTAATTTGGCGGCTACTGAAACCCCTCATTGAAGTATGCGCGATTGGAGCATGATGCGGCAAATGGTGTACGGCGGAAAACTGTGTTTTCTTGCATGCAACAATGCCACACTTCATTGAGCGCGGAAACGTGTAGAACAAAACCGGCGAACGGACGGACATTATAGCTGTCAAAAATAAACATCAATCAAAAAACAAAAACAATAACAACAAGTTCTTGAGAAAATTTGTGTAGGCCGTTTTTTCACTGTTTGTTTTGTTGTTGCTATAATAAAATTATAAAGCGTGTTGAGAGCTGGCTGAAAGGAAAACCTGTTGCATCGCCGACTCGAGTAAATATGAAGACTATTTTTAATTGAAATTTTTCCAAAAACGCTTTATGCTGCTTTGCCTTTGGTTCTGTTGCTTGTTTGTTGTTATTACTTGCGTATTTAATATATAGGAGTACTTTTATTTTCCTTAAAAAAAAATAAATGCTATAATAATTTAGGCGGATTAAGTTAAATGCCATTTAAATGAGGTTCAACTAATATTAAACTAAAACTAAAAAATTACGTTCAAAATCAAAAAATTAAAAAAATGCATAGAATAAAATTTTAAATTATTTAATTTTTAATTTAAATTTTAAAAATATATAATATCATAAAAGTTTAAAAAAATTAATAATATGAGTTTTTAAATAAAATTAATTAATTTAATTAATTTATTTAGATTAATTTAATTATATATTTTTAATTAAAACCGTTAAACAAACTTAAATAATCAAAATAAACTTAATTAATTAAAATTAATTAATTAAATTAAATTTTATTTTATTTCTTTTAATTATAAATTTAATTTAAATTTAAAACCAATTAAATGCGATTTCACTTAATTTAAATCAAAATTACGTTAAAAACCGAGTCATTAAAAAAATTTATAAAATTCAATTAATGTATGTATATCTAAAATTTTCTAAAAAACTTTTGTTAAAAATATGCAATAATATGAAAGTTATTCAAAATCAATAATATTAATTTGTAAATCAAATTAAATAAATTTAGTTAATTAAAACTAATTAAAATTATTATATATATTTAATTAAAACAGTAATATAAAATAAAATAAATTTAATTAATTACATAAAATAAAATAAATTTAATTAATTAAAATAAATTTATTTTATTTTATTTAATTATTAAATTTAATTTAATTATTATTATTAAAATATTATAAATTTAATTAATTGAAATAAATTATTTAAATTAAGTTTTACTTTATTTTGTTTTATTTTACTATTAAATTAAATTAAATTATTAAATTATATTAAATTTTATTTAATATTATAAGTTTAATTTATTAAAAAAAATAAATTAAATACAGTTTTATTTTATTTTATGATATTATTAAATTTAATTAAAATTAAATTAAATTTAATTACTAAATAAAAATTAATTAATTAAATAATTAAATAAAAATTAATTAATTTAATAATTAAATAAAAATTAATTAATTAAATAATTAAAATAAAATAATTAATTAAATAATTAAATAAAAATTGAGGTCCGTACACCCTAATCAAATTTAATTGTTTTCAACTTAGTTAACTACAAACTAATTTAATTAGAAAGAATGTCAAATACAATTAAATCAAAACAAAACTCTGTTAACTTCAAAGCTCAGATACCAGCTTTTTCTCCAGCATTTAAATTTCTTTCGTACTTGAAAAACCCAAAAACTCTGCTCAGTTGCCAACTCATTCGAAATGAGGAATCTTCAAGTGAAAATATTTGATTTATGACCTACACACAGACATGCAACATACACACACACACATTTACAAACACATAGCCACAAGCATGACCAATCAATCTGACCCAATATTAGACATAATTAAAAGCAATTTGTGGCAATCCGCATGCAACATACGACCTACTACCTATATGTATATGCATGCAACATAAGCAACAACAAAAAATGATAAAACTGTATGGCAACAGCGCAGCAGTGGCTGCATTGAATATCACAAAAGCAAATGCGGAAAATTATGTAAGCGCTGCACTTGTGTGTGCCACAGGGAATTGCGGCTTAAACAACGGTACATAAATTAGCGTAATGATACACAGTCAAAATATTTAGAATATTTTCGAAAAATGTCGGCTGGCAGTAGCCAGTTGCTGCGCTACACGGCGTTCATAAACTCATGCATATGTATGTATGTATGCATATGTGTGTGATCGATCACAGTGCTTCACAAGCCATTAGAAGAGTCATTCATCTGCGTTGCAAGTTTTCAGCCAAACCAGAAAAAAACACACACGATATGAGGAAGAGTCGCGCTACAATTGAATGAAGCTGCTGTGTGGCTATTTTTTATACTTTTTTACCTTTCTTTCTGCCTCCTTCTCCCCTGCCTGTGTCGACCTCACAGCAGGTAAAACGCACAAGTTATAAATTCCAGCCGTTTTTGCTACCAGTGGCTTGCTTTAATTGTTGCTTGCTTGTTGTTGTTTCAACTTTATTTAGACTTCAATCAATAATTTCGAGTTTTTACAATTTTTTCTAATATTTTTTTTTTTTTCTTCTTGCACTATTTTTTCTCAACTACACATGTTCCCCCTAATTTGCTTTAATGAGTTGGTATAGCGTGTCTTGTCTCACTCCTTTTGTATGCTAATTAAATGAATATTTATTTCTTTACTAAAATTTTTTCAAATGTATTTTTTTTTTAATTTTTATTTTTTTCATTTTTTTTTTTTTGTATTTCTTTTTCTTTTTTTTTTTTTTTGATGGAATGTCGCGCGTGTTTATTGTGTGGTGGCATAATAAAGCCAGAAATGCACACAATTTTAGATAAATATTTGTGTTATGAGTTGTTGGCAGCATGTAAATGCAATTAACTGTAATAACATGCTACGCTTGAATTCAACTTTGGTATGAAGCCGAGTTCGCTGCTTAAGTCTTTTGTAACAGGAAGGTTTATGTGAAATGAATAGGATAATATTATATATTAATTTTTTATTTAAAGTATAATATTTCATTTAAACTTAAATTATGCTATTCTAATGTGCTTTTAATTAAATAATTATATTTGTTAAAATTTATTTTATTTTATTTAATAATTTAAACAAATACTTTTTTTTTAATTTGGTATACATAAGCTAATTGTTGTAATTAAAAAAATTAATATAATATTATTTAATTTGGTTACTTTTTTTAATTTGATATATATATTTGTATAAGTTAATTATTGTAATTTAAAAAAATAATATAATAAAATGTGATTTAATTTGGTTGGTTTTTTTTTTTTTAATTGTTATACTAACTGTGTGTTTATAGATACGTAAGTTAATTATTATAATAAAAAAAATTAATATAATTTAATTTATATTAGATACAATTTTTTTAAATTTCATATATATATATGTATGTATAATGTAAAAATTAATACAATTCCTAAATTAACACGTCTCTGGAAATATTAACAATATAATTTATTTAAAAATGTTTTAATTTGTATTTTGGAACTAATTAAGTTAATTATTATAAATTTATAATTCATATTTTATTGTAAATATAATTTATCACTTTTTTTTTTGTGCGCGCACAAACTGTGTCGATAAAATATACATATATGTGCATAGGTATGTATAAGCTAATTTTTTTAATTTGTAGTTTTATTTTTTTCCATTAATTTATGTTTTAATATTTTTTTATTAATGTATAATTTTTTATTTATATTTTTTTGTTACTTTTTTCAGTTTTTTTTTATTTAATTTATTTTTTTAAATAATTTTACAAAGTATATATGTATATACATTAAGTAATTTAAGTTAATTTTTTAGATTTATATTTTTTCAATCATTTATTTTTTAATATTTTTTTTTATTATTATTTTAAATTTTTTTTTTATTTTTTTAATGTATAATTTTTTATTTTTATATTTTTTATAATTTCATAAAGTATATATATATTTGTATGTATGTATGTAAAATAATTTTTTTTTTAAATTTTTTGGTTTTATTTTTTTTTCAGTCATTTATTTTTCAGTACTTTTTAATTTTTTTGGTACTTTATTTAAATTTTTCAATTTTTTTAAATAATTTAATAAAGTATATATGTACATATGTATATATAGGAAATTTTATTTATTTTTTTCAAATTTTTAATTTATATGTACATGTATATGTACATATATGTAAATTAATTTTTTTTATTTCATTTTTTAGTTGAATATTTTTTTTCAATTATTTATCTTTTAATATTTTTTTATTTATATTTAAAAATTTTTTTTATATTTATTTTTAATTATTGTATTTTTAATATTTTTCGTTATGCCTGTATAATTTTTTACTTTTAACACAAACAAAAATGCCAACAAAATATTTAAACGCTTATAATTTCAACATAATTTTCAGAAAATTAAATTATAGCACACTCGCTTGACGTGTCTTTGAAATCATTCAATCAGCTGAGTGCTTATAAGCGCATATTACACACATACACACACAAATGTGCGTGAGCATATTGTTCCGTTTACAATTTAATTTAATTATTTTGTGAAAAGTATTTCCGCTGACTGACTTTACGCTGGGCTTCCGCTTAGCAAAAACAACAACTAATAAAATGCAATAAAACGCCGCAAAAAATGCTTAAAAAGGAATATTTGTGTGAAGGAAAATAAAAAATATATATTTTACCATTGCAAAAAAAGCTAAGCTTCAAAAAACAAATTTTGCGCGCTGCTCGAGCTACACCCACCAGCGTCAGCACACACACATAATTATGCACACAACTTCTATGTAATAACTGTTACTAGCCATATTGGCGGCAGTTGCACTCCGTTGCGCATGCGCCGCGGCGATTACGTTGCTGCTATTATTGCTAGCGCCAAAGCACACACACACACGCACAAACACACAGACGCACACCCACACTTAAACGCACGCGAGTTGCATGCCAGCGAAGTGAAGGAAGCGAATATCGCCCAAATTCCATGTTTTCTGGCGTTCCACTTTAACAGCCACGCCCCACTTGCCCCCCGCTGCTCACTGCATACTGCATACAAATGTGCAGACAAACTTTACCGTTATCCGCATTGCTGCTTGCATGTTATAAAAGTCTTTAGCCAACTGGGCCAACACTCATTTCATAGACTCAAAGCGAAGCGTGAATAACGGCGCATCCAGTGAAAATCGCATTTGTTGATCTGCCTGCTCGCGAAAGTGTTACAAATTTAAAAACGGCTCGAATTAGCTCGAATATGCAACGCACACGCGTGGTGAGCCGAAAATTAACTTTTTCCTGCGAAAAGTTCTTTATCATTTTCGTTTTTGTTTGTAATCCCGCTAGCTCTTCAAAGTGACGATCGTTGTGGGCGTGTTGCTGCTGCTGGTGTGCACTCAAAGCGCGGATGCCAAGTAAGTGTTTAGACGCGAAGTTCGCTAGAATCATTTGTTCCCGTTTCCTGTGCTCCGTTCCCGTTACGTACACCCGACTGTCGTGGGAACGGACTGGAATAATCCTATCAACACACATCATTTCGCATTTACTCGTTTCTTAAGTGTTGAAAGCGCTCGCTCTCCTTGTCAACTTATTATTAATACTCATCCTCTCTCATCTTTCTCCCACTTTTGTTCCACAGCGGTCATCACAAGAAGAAAAAGGTCATCATACATGTACCGGTCCACAAGAAGATCGAGGAGCACACCCACACCATTATAAAGCATATACATCATCATCACAAACCGATTGTCATCAAGGAGGAAAAGGTCATACACGAGGAGCATCATCCGATTATACACAAAGAGCATATCTCTCACGAGCATCAGCATCATCACACGGAGAATCACGAACATGTCCATCCGATTATTGAAGAAGAGGAGGAACATATACACCATCACCATCAGTATGAGCATAAGGAGGAGAACCATGAGAGTTGAGCAAAGTCCACGTTGAACCATTAAAGCCATGCAAAATGTTTTAAATAATTAAAAACTATTAAATTTAAAATTTCCAAAATATTTGTAATGCGCATTTTACGCGATCATTAGTTTCAACATGAAATTTGGAACTTATGTTCGAATATAGATGCCAAATTATTATTATTTTCTTTTTTAATTTTGTATTGTTAAATAAACACGTTTAAACTAATTTCATTGAAAACAAAAGTGTTTTATTAAATAAGCCTACAAAAATCGTTTGCCATATTTTATAATCATAAGTAAACATATGTTTTCACTATTGCGACTTCGTCTTTGCCAAGAACAAGCAACCCACTACTGCATTGTGAACTGAGCTGGGGAATAAGAGGCAGCATTGTAGGGACTGTTTTTGACGTTTCATTATTCAGAGAAATTCAACGCGAAAAAAATAAAAGAAAATTTTCACGCGAAAAAATCTAAAATTTTTAATTGGGTACTACAATTAATTGCCCAATCAATCAGTTGAGCATTGATATAATTTGCTAGCGTCTCGAAATAAGCAAAAATATGGATCAAAGTGCAAGCAGAAAAAAAATTAAACTAAAACCTTGAAGGAGCTGCATCCGTAGAAAAAGTAAAATAAGTATAAAATATTCGTAGCGAATAGCAAAAGGCAAGGCAAATTAAGGCCATAATGCAAATAAAAGTATAGATTGAAAAGTTGTCCCTGCGTTGAAGTGTGTGAATTGTGTAAATTAAAGTCGTTAAAGAAGCAACGCATACAATCGGGTTCTATAAAAGCAGTGGTGTACAAATAACTTTACATATATTATTGCTCTGCGTCGACTACAAACAACGTCAGCAGCGGCAGATTGTCAAGTTGCGCTTGTGGAAAACCACATACGCTTCCTGTTTGTACATTTCAGCAACACACAACATATTTAACCATTGAGCGTTTAACTCGTATAATTTTGACCGTGAAACTTCAAGGGAATCGCAAACGTTGTCTTCGTTGCTTTTAGAAACGTCGTCTTCAACACCCATCATCGTGGTTGTGGTCGTTTATAACGCCAAATCACAACCCGTACCGCCCCCTACACACGAACAGCTCATCCATTGCACACCTGTGACATACGTACATTTACACAGCGCATTAAGTCGCGCCATTCATACCTACTGCCTGCCAATAATCACATACGCATATACATGTGCATTTCATTTGGCAGCAAGCTTACAGACGACATCTTTGCCACTGGACTTTGGCAGGCTGTATAGGAGATGACTGTTAGTTTGCCATGGGTTCACAAACCTTGGAGATATTACGCCAAGGCGTGTGGGCCTCACTGACCGGTGGCTGGTTCTACGATCCACATCAGGGCGTCTTCTGTAATGTGGTACACCTGTATTTATGGTTGTACCTGCTGTGCTCACCGTTTGTCGCTTATCTGGTAAGTATTTCGAATGCAACTATGTTTGGCATTGAGGACGGGCGCCGACGCAGCAATTGGTTGGTTGGCAGCTAAACGGCGTCAAGGCAGCATTGTGCGTCACTCACAAAATGCCATACATCAATGTTAATCAAAACAAAACAAAAAAAAAATGCGAGAAAAACGATGTAGAAAATGGCACCGGCTGTTCGCTATTTGCATGCCAAAGCGTAGTGTTGACGCACCCGTGTCAAATACAACAACAGTTGTGTTTAAAGTGGCGCGCCAACACACCTTCCTCGGACGCTATCACCGCTGTTGTCGCGCCCACCAATGCCACATTTGTTTATAAATTCACACTTATTTGATTTAATTTGTTGCAGTATTTTCCAAGTACTTGGCTAACATGGTGTATTTACTGCACCCTCACAAGTTTCACCATATTGCTGGTGAAACTAGCCAATATGGCACTGCATCGTCTCTACGACCGAGCACAAACCATGTCGGAGGCGAATCTCAAAAATCCATTCTTCAAAATCACCAAGGAGATGGAACCACGGTGAGTGTAACCGCAAGCAAACTAGAGTAGTGAAAGTAAACATGAAGGCACCCGTAACGGCTATTCCGCTAAAAAAAAATGTGTGTAATAATATAGCAACTAAAAATGCATTTGTGTGCGTAGTTTTGTGCAAAGATGTGTTTAAAATTGTTTGCAACGAAGTGGAAAAAACGTAGTTTTGTGCAAAAATGTGTTTAAAATTGTTTGCAACGAAGTGGAAAAAACGTGCTGAATCGAAATAAGCAATGAAGTGAATATAAAACATACCCGCAAAAATAAAAAAGCACGCATAATTCCATCGTTCCAAATTTTAAATTAAAAATGATGAATGCTGATAAAGCGAAAAATAACTCAATACCATGTAAAGTTGGGCTATAATCATACATACTAAAGTGCATGGCTGCCAAAACAACAGTTTTCCAAAAAATGCTTTATATTAGAAAAATTCAAAATATCAATATTAAATAGCTCAAAAACAACGCACACCGAAGTAACCTTTTGAATTGGAAACAATTTAAGTTATTCATACAACGTTTATTACTGATAACAACAACAACAAAAGTCCCGATAAGTGGCGATCGTGTTTTTTGTATTCATTTACTTTGAAATGACTCATAATGCATATAATAATTCGCATTTGTTTAATAATTTGTTGCTGTACACAAGCAACAGCATGTGAAAAAAATGGAGCGTGTATGATAATGCTAAGTTGCAGGTCAAAGCTCTCGAGTGTGTAAAGCAAGCGAAGGAAATAAATTAAAATACAATAAAAGAAGTTTGAACAAAGAAACCATGACTAAAAAATAATTGTTTCGACAACAAATCGCTGCCAAAGGCTTTTGATTTTAAATTTAATACATTTTGTGCTTAAAGTGATTAAAGATAAATTATATTTGAAATAATTATTGCAGATTAAATAAATTATGACACCTAGTGACCTTGGCGTTGAGAAAATTCAAGCTTTGCAATATTGAAATTTGTCAAATGCAAAGAAAGGCCTCCCTTCAGGGGCATGCATGAGTGTTTATGTATAGGTATGCACACAGCTGACAGTAGTTTGATGGGTAGAAAGTTGGATTAAGGCAACAAGGCCACGTGTATTGTTGTAAATGCTTTCTCAAGCACATCCCACACACACATATATATGTACGTATATATCCGCGATTGCAGGAATATTTGTTTATAAACGAATGGCGTTGCTAGTTGGCCGAAGGCATAGGTGAGAAAGGATTATGAACTTCACGAGGCAGTGCGAGTGGGTGTGCGCCCCCTAGCAATAGTGTGCATACGCGCGCGCGCGTGTGTGTAGAAATAGCGTGGCGTGTTGTTTGTTTATAAACAAAAAACGAAGCGTTAAGCAGCACGCTGCCTTATTTGGTTACTAGCTGCTACCATTTGTACTTCGTTAACAAGTGTGTGCTATTGTTTATACAGTTATATATATATATATGTGCTTACTTGCAGTGAAAATGAGACGGGCATCGAAATGAAGGTGATGCGCAACGATGGCTCACACAATTCCGTGGAACAGGCGATAAATGAAGCAAGCGAGGAGAACAGCATGATGTCCATGGAGAATGTAAATAGCATAATTGGTAAGTTTCATGGAAATTATACAATAAATTAAAAATTTAAATGAAATTCGCTATAAATTATTGGCGCAGACCTCAAGGTGGACGTACATCGCAAAAACAGTTCGGAATCCATCGAAATGCTGTTCTATCCCCCTTCGCTAGTCTCTGGTAATAGCCAACAAGATCAACAGTCACTTGCCGGTTCCGTTAGCGTCACAAAATCCATACGTTCCACAAATGCGCCTGTCACTGGCGCACTCAGCGTCTATCCGGAGCACGAAAGTGAACATATGAGCAGCGCCGATATAAACGCACACCATAGCAGCACTTTAAAGCCCGGCGCCAGCAATAGCACAGCCAACAACAATGCCAACGCACGCCACATGCCACACCTACTACGCAAATCATCTGAAGAATTCAAACGGCGTCATCAACGACGACGTCTAGAACGTCAAGGCAGCTTAGACGCTGCCGCCGAAACGTGCTTGGCCAACAAACTGATACGCAATCAATCTGATACAATTGCGACGAGCGCCAACGCGCGTTGTAGTGACAACTTTTTGCATCCGCAAGACGTCACTGCCGCTGTAGCAAACAAATCGGTCTCAGCAACGAAGATGACGCACAATGCGCTGGGTACAATTGCATTAGGCGCTGCCACACAACGAACTGCCACAACGACTAGCGCCACGACCACGCTGACGCTCACAAGTGCTAACGCAATGCCAATGGCAACAACGAATATGTCGAGTTCCGCAGGCTCTAGCGGTGCTCCAGGCAGTGTTGCACTGAACGCGCCAACTGCGCTGTCGTCTGCTAAGGGTACGCGCTTGCAGCGACATCGCAGCTCCGAGACGCACGAGGAGCGCATGAAGCAACAAAATCGTAGTACCTTCCTGCCCATTCACCACGAACATCAGCCACACCATGTGTCCAGCGGCGCCAGCAGCAGCAGCGCGTTGGCGGCGATAGTCGGTGACATCATGGATGGCGATGATATGGAGTTGGATGGATTAGGCGGCAGCGCAAGCGGCATGTCGGGGCATGTGGAGACGCGCGCGCGAGTTCTGCAACCGTGGATACTAGGTTAGTATGCAACTATGACTTTTTAGTGTACGTTTATACAATATTTCTTTACGTACCGCAGGCTCTTCTTCCGATGTCTACATCGACGATGACAGCTACACGAAATCGGATTTTGGCATCGAACAATTGGATGGCCGCAAGTCGAATCGTCCTGGGTTCCTATTGCAGCAGCAGCAGCCGTTTAACTCACATTATGCGCAGTATCAGCAGCAATTCTACCGCACGCCACATCATCACCACCACCATGGCGCGGTCAACATACGTAAAGACTCCAGCAGCACCATGTCCGCGCTGCAACTGCCCGTTGGTAATGCAAAATCGAGTGCGGCTAGCAGTGGCAGCGGTATGAAAAGACGCCGACATTCCAATGCCACCGCACTATATAAAGGCGGTGCTAGTGGTGTAGGCGCGCCGAATCATGCGCACTCAAACGCTTTGGCCGCAGCTGCTGCGTTGGCGTCCGGCCAGCAGCCGACTGTACGTCGCATTAAGAGTGCCGCGCTAGAGATCTCCTGTCCGCGTCCCTCAGTCTCGAACCTCAGTCCACACCCCAACAGCGTGGAAGCAATTAATGGCCAGCAAATGATAA